TTCACAGCCTTTGAGGCTGGTTAATAGCTTAGCAGCTCAAGTCCTAACCAAGGACCTAGGAACTGTTAAGGTATCGTCGGAGGATGTATTATTATTATTATTATTATTATTATTATTATTATTATTATTATTTATTATTATTATTAATAATCCTATTAAATATTAATCCTATTAATAATCCTTATCTTTCCCCCTTTTATTGGTGGTATTATTATTATTATTATTATTATTATTATTATTATTATTATTATTATTAAAGATTTAATCTTCAATTCGATTCACAGTCTGGGACTGGTAAAAAATTATATTATGGTTACTCTTCAATTCGATTCACAGTCCGGGACATCATCATCATCATCATTACTATTATTACTATTATTATTATCTTGTATTTATTAAACATGAAACTCAAGTCAACTCAACATTTAAAAATGTATCACAAATATCATTGACCGGCACTGATGGTTGATACAGGTTGCTGCCAGCGTCCTAGGTAACAACCCAAGTATCTTCTTAAAATGTACGTTGTTGTTGTTGATATTATTATTATTATTATTATTATTATTATTATTATTATTATTGATTTAATCTTCAGTTCGATTCAGAGTCTGGGACTGGTAAAAACTTAACAGTCCAAGTCCTAACCAAGGACCGAAGAGCTGTTAAGGTAATGTCTGAATATATAGGCAGCTCCAAGTAAGATGTGGGTTGTTGTTTTTTGCAAAGTCAGAATATTCAAGTCTGACAAATTCAACGTTTCCATGTATCAAGGCAGCCCTTTGGCTATTGCTCCAAGGACTCCTATTACTACTATTGGTGCAACCATTTGGTTTCTTCCTCCATCAACTTCAATTTGCAAATCAGGATATTTTGTTATTTTTTTCCCCTAGTTATTACTATTATTCTTCTCTCTGTTGTTTTGCGTGTACACTGAGAGGTTCTGCACAGCAGACCAATTCCTTGCGTGTGTCTAATCACACTTGGCCAAACGAAGTATTCAATTCAATTCATACCTGGGCTGACACACTTCCAAGCACACTCCTGGTGCAAATCAGGAGACAAAGGAGAGGAAAAAAAAACAAAAAAAAAAAACAAGCCTCTTCCAATTTAGGAATCACACCCAGATGGTTGTTTGGCATTAAAGCCTCCCACCAGAAGGGATCACAATAGAACGGAAGAACAGGCTAGGATAAGGGGTAAATAATTGGTAACTCATGGATTTCAACTCAGTGTAAAGTTGCACAAAAGATATGCCCTCCCACTGCCAGGACTCAGGTTTAAAGGCAGGTTTGCAAGCCCCGTTATCCACCAGGTTCTTGCAATTTCCTTAAAAAAAAAAAAAGTTGCCAACTGCACTTTTTAACACCTTTCACCTGGAGAAAAAAAGCTTATATACTCCTTGTGTGTGAAAATCCTCACCTCTCAGTCCCCCGCCCTTCCAAAAGGTTGAAAGCTTAGAACCGGGGGGGGGGGTCCCTGAGAAGTTGGCCACCCTGTTTCCTGCAGGTCCCACCCACCCACCCACTCGCATCCATCCACTCACCCCTTCCCCAACTCAGCTCCCAAGGCGCCCGCGGACTCACCTTTGCAAAGCAGGACTCCCAAGAGTGAGCTGACAGCCAAGAGGCCGCTGGGCGCAGCCCCCATCCTGAAGACCTCCCCCTCCTCCTCCTCTCGCCTCGCCTTCCTTCCCCCCGGGGTGGGGGGTGGGGGTGGGGGGTCGGGTGGAGCCGCTTTTTCAAGACTTCAAGCCGGATCCCCAAGCCGACCCTTTTCTTTTTGCCTGAAGGATGCGTCCCCGGTTCGTCTCCTCCATCCACATCCGATCGAGCGCCTTCTCCCGGTCGGTTTCTCCTCCAGACGGGGGAGGCGGGAAGACAAGAGCCTGTGCCCACCCACCCCCGAGTTTTTCCCGATTCTCGGACATCCAGGGAAGGCTCCTTTTACACACACACACACACACCCTGGAGAGGGCGCGCAGCGAGTGATGCCGCGCAGCGCAAGGCGCAGCCGAGCCAGAGAAGATGCTTGAAAGAGGATGGAAAGTTTTCTGCTTCTTCTTCTTCTTCTTCTTTTTCTTCTTCTTCTTTTTTTCTGGCGCCTCCCTACTCCAGCCGGGGTGGTGCCTTGGAAACTGAGGATGGGGAGGGTGAGGGTGGGTGGGGAAGGGTCCAGGAGGGTGGGTGGGCGACTGATAGCCCCGTTTCCTTTGGCGACTTCAACGCCGTCCCTTCGAGTGGCGAAGGAAACGCAACTTGATCTTGCAAGAACCATAAGAAGGAGAAGAGTGAGCCATCCTTCTTTAAAGGAGGAAGGAGGTTTGTGGGGGTGGAAAGGGGGGTGTCTATGGGCAGCTTCCCGTCCGACAGGACGCCCAGAGAGAGTTCCCGGGGGTCGCCATCCCTCTCCAACCGCGCAACCCCAAAGACTCGCAGACAGAGCTAGAAGAGACGGAGAGAGAGGCGGATCCTTTCCCAACCAGTCTCTCCAATCCGAGGAAGGGTTTTTCTCTCTCGATCCCCCCCTCTCGCTTTTTTTTAAACCCCCTCCCTCCTTTTGCTTTCAGTCCAAAGATCTGGCAGTGACTCAAATCGGCTGGCGAGCCCAGGAGCGCGTTTGCGCGGGTGGGGGTGTGGGGGGGGCACCTCCCCGCGCGATTATTTGCGTGGAGAGCTGCTCTCGCCTGCTCTGGGGAAGCTTTCCCCCGACCCACAAAAGGGGCGACGAAGAGAGCGCCCCAGATCGAGCAAGCCTGTTGCAAGCAAGGACCAGGGATGCGCCTCTTCTGGAGACAGCTAGGGGGCTTGTAAAAAAAGAACCAATGTGGCCCTCTAGTGGTCGGGTGCGGGGTGACAGCCCGGATGAAGGAGATGACAGATTAACAGAGTTGGAAGGGACCTTATAGGTCATCTAGTCCAACCCCCCCCCCAAACATGCAAGCAGGAGACCTTACACCATTTCTGACAGATGTCTGTCTAGTCTCTTCTTGAAAGCCTTCAGTGATGAAGCTTCCACAACTTCTGTTCCATGGGTTGATTGTTCTCACTGTCAGGAAGTTCCTCCTTATTTCCAGGTTGAATCTCTCCTTGATCAGTTTTCACCCATTATTCCTTGTTTGGCCTTCAGGTGCCTTGGAAAATAGCTTGACCCCCTTTCTCCTCTCTGTGGCAGCCCCTCAAATATTGGAAGACTGCTATCCTGTCTCCCCTGGTCCTTCTCTTCACTAGACTAGCCAGGCCCAGTTCCTGCAACCATTCATCGTATGTTTTAGCCTCCAGGACTTTGATCATTTTAGATAGATCCAGATTAACAGAGTTGGAAGGGACCTTGTAGGTCATGTACTCCAACCCCCCACCCAAGCAGGAGACCCTGCACCATCTCTGACAGATGGCAGTCCAGTCTCTTCTTGAAAGCCTCCAGGGATGAAGCTCGCACAACTTCTGAAGGCAACTTCTGTTCTACTGGTTGATTGTTCTATATTGTCAGAAAATTCCTCCTTATTTCCAGGTTGAATCTCTCCTTGGTCAGTTTCCATCCATTGTTCCTTGTCTGGCCTTCGGGTGCTTTGGAAAACAGTTTGACCCCTTCCTCTCTGGGGCAGCCTCTCAAATATTGGAAGACTGCTATCCTGTCTCCCCTGGTCCTTCTCTTCACTAGACTAGCCAGGCCCAGTTCCTGTAGAATAGAAGAGAGCTACCAGAACTACTTTAGTTATATGAAGTAGCTGAGTCCTTAAAGCACCTGAGCTCACTTTAGACGCCTAAATTTGTTTTGGGTTCCAGCATTTCTATCAATAGCTTGGGTTTGGTTCTTGAGGTCAAGTAATTGGGAGGTGAATTTGAACAAGGGCAACTGGATGTTCTGAGTCACACCTTGAAGAATAGACCGAGTGGGCTGCTTTTCATTCGAAGCAGAGACGCAGGTGCGTTAATGCACAGTTCTCAAAGGTCTTTCAGGGTTGCCTCCTCTTTCAACACTCAACCACACACTGCACACACACACACAGCCTGTGCACGCAATCCAATTTCCAGGCCTATTGTCAGATCCCTAAAAGTGATACTGCCATTCAATTGGAGGAATGGGGAGTCTTGGATTCGATTTACTAGCATTGCCTGTGTCAACAGATATTTTACAACCTATATCCTGGCGCCAAAGAGCCCTGAGATCTTCTTTACCTGGAGGAATGTTTATGATAGCCATGTGGGTTGTTTCACTTTAAAGGATAACAGTGTGAATGCATGGTTGTTCGGGTTCTCAGGGAAACTGGGAAAGAAAGCATCTTCACACTTGTGTATTGGTTAAAATCTGCATTCTGACTTAAAGGGAGGGGTCTCTACTGCTTTAATCCTACTTGTCTTGCCTAAGGGTATTCAGATCTTGCTTTAACCGGGTGGCTATCACTTCTGCTTAATAAAAGGTTCCTTTTGGACAACCACGTTTCAAGAGTTTTTACTTTCTTAAATTGGAAGGAGAGGCAATCCATACACCTATATTGACTTCAGCAGATGAAACAAACTGACATTGATATAGGACAATGGTGTCAAACTCGATTTCATTGAGGGCCGAATCAGGGTTCTGTTTGACCTCAGAGGTGGGGGCGGGGAGGGCTAGGGTGGATGTGGCCAGGGAGGGCGTGGCTGGCATGACATAACTCATATCAGTGGGTGCCTGCGGTGGCCCGAGCACTCTGCCAGTGAAAATGGGCTCCCGAGCTCCGTTTTCGGCTGTGTTGGCTTCCTGCAACCCTCTGCCAGTGAAAACAGAGCTCAGAAGGGCCACCTGTGGCCCTTGCAAACTCCGTTTTTGGCTGCGACGGCCTCTTATCAGGGGTGGGTTCTACTTGCCTTTACTCCTGGTTTGCAATGGGATAGCGCGCGCGAGCGAAGCAAGCATGTGCAGATCGCTGATGATGACATCCGGGGCAGTGGGCGGGGCCTCCTGCCAGTTTTACTACTGGTTCTTGCGAACCGGTCTAAACCAGGGGCAACCGACCACTGGCCCTCATGAGCTCCGTTTTCATCTGGGATGGCCTTCTGCAACCCTCTGCCAGCAAAAAATGGAGCTTGAGAGGGCCAGGCGCCGTCCTCACAAATTCTGTTTTCGCTGGCAAAGGCACCATGGGAGTCCTTTGCTCTTTCCAGGGTGGCCCCATGGGCCAGATCTAAGCACCCCATGGACCGGATCTGTCCCCCAGTCCTTGAGTTTGACACCCCGATGTACCGTGTTTCCCCGAAAATAAGACCGGGTCTTATATTAATTTTTGCTTCAAAAGACGCAGTAGGGCTTATTTTCTGGTTCGGATTTATTTTGGGGGAAATACGGTACTAAATGCATCCATCTGGCTGACAATCTTAACTGGAGTTTATTTTAGGGGTAGGGCTTATATTAGGAGCATCCTTAAAAATCATGCTAGGGCTTATTTTCCAGTTGGGTCTTATTTTTGGGGAAAATAGGGTAGGAGAAGGAGAAAAAGAGGAGTTCTCTGCTACTACTCAGTCCCTCCACCCTAAAGCCTTTGGGTCTTCAAAAAAATTCACTTAGGATAGACTGTAAACTACGCATTTGAGGGAGCGAACATGTTTGTAAATGGAACCTCAACTTGGAGGGACAAGAGAGTGTCAAATGTTATGCATAAATGACATCATGAAATTCATGGATTTGTACAGGCGTAGGCAACTGGCCTCTGGAGAGACACAGTGAAAGCTGAAATGATGGCCATCTTCTCATCTTTCAGAAGGAATTTCATTTTTCTTTTCTCCTTGCCTTGCTCATTCTTCACTTCATTGGCGGTGAAAACTATTAATTGAGGGCCTTCAGAGGTAGCAAGATATCGGACGTTCATGCGTGAAGATAAAAATAGATCAGCTTTGAAGCTACCTTCTTCACTTGATCTTCATCCTCATCTTCAAAGAGATTTCTTCCTCCTTCTCCTTTTCTCCTTTTCCTCCTCTTCTCTGTCAACATCAGCTCAACCTAAGTGGGGAACAATCCTCCTTCTCCTTCTCCTTCTCCTTCTCCTTCTCCTTCCCCTCCTCCTCCCTTTCTCCTCCTCCTCCTCCTCCTTTTTCTCCTCCTCTTTCTTTTCTTCTCCTCCTTTTTCTCCTCCTTCTCCTCCTCTTTTTTCCTCTTCTCCTCCTCCTCCTTCTTTTTCTCTTCCTCCTTCTCCTCCTCCTCCTCCTTCTCCTCCTCCTTTTTCTCCTCCTCCTGCTCTTTCTCCTCCTCCTCATTCTCCTCCTCATTCTCCTCCTCCTCCTTCTTCTCCTCCTCCTCCTCCTCCTCCCCGTCCTCCTCCTCCTCCTCCTCCTCCTCCTCCTCCTCCTGTATCCCAACATCTGCTTTAGACTCTCACTTCCGATTCATACCCCACCAATCTGCTCTTTAGGAATTCTGTTGGGCTGAGATGACAGAATAAATTCAGAGCCACAGACAAAGGAAACAAAAACTGTCTAGTTTTGTTGAGTGAGCATTTCTGACTCGGGGATTACGGACTCCAATTTGTATTGGTTTAATTAAAAGCAAGGAATGAAGAGAGCAAACTATGGAAAGCAAGATCTGTCAATCTTGAGAAGATACTGAATGAAAAGTAGACATTTTTTTCTTATTCCTCCGAGGCTTGCAACTTGATTATTGCCCATTCAAAAAAATATAAAAAACCCCAAACAAGCAAGACTCCTCCAAAGTCCCAGGGAAGTGTTCTGATATTTATTTCAAGCATAAGTGTATATGAGGGATGCGGTGGCTCAGTGGCTAAAGACGCTGAGCTTGTCGATCGAAAGGCCGGCAGTTCAGCGGTTCAAATCCCGAGGGCCGCGTAACGGGGTGAGCTCCCGTGACTTGTCCCAGCTTCTGCCAACCTAGCAGTTTGAAAGCAGGTAAAAAATGCAAGTAGAAAAATAGGGACCACCTTTGGTGGGAAGGGAACAGCGTTCCGTGCGCCTTTGGCATTGAGTCATGCCGGCCACATGACCACGGAGACGTCTTCGGACAGCGCTGGCTCTTCGGCTTTGAAACGGAGATGAGCACTGGCCCCTAGAGTCGGGAACGACTAGCATATATGTGCGAGGGGAACCTTTACCTTTAAGTGTATATAAGGGGGTGGGGGGGACGACTCAGAATTCTATACTCCTCTAGTATTTGGATTCACATAAGATGGTTGGATGGCTGAATTAATCCATTTTCAAGGTTTTGCATAACATATTGCAACCATCATCATGCTGGGCGTACGTAACTCCAAAACCCCACAGCCCCCTTCCTCACACACACAGGCACACACAACTGCTATAGATAACACCAAGCCAGCTCAATCTGTTTTGCAAACTCACTCCCTGGAACTCTAATCCACTTAAGTATGTTGTGTGAACTTCCACGGTCTTTAATTGAGCGGATTGAGAGTGGGTCGGCGTTGGGAACCTAGCACGCCCTACAAATTCTTTCCAGAGCTATTGAAGAAGCCAGAATAGACTCTGGAGCTGTTGTTATGCACAACATCAAGGTGCTGCA